CCACCATGTGTAGCGAACGGTTGACGACGCGCCAGGTCAAGAAGAAGACTTGTCGGTCTCAAGATTTCTCTGTACAAGTTCTTTTTGTTGCTTTATTGTTTGCTTCGGACACAGGAGAGTTTATAGGTGGCCGAAGTAGCCATGGGACTTCAATGATTCAAGGAGCTATTGAGCAGTGCGGACCAACGAGACAGCCGTGTGGAGGTGCAACATGGGCAAGACATTGATGGTGTTGATGGGCCTGGCCACGGCTTCATCAATTGAGATTCACCATGAATAACAACAGACTGCGTATATAATGTATGATCATGTATATAATTATAATATAATATACTAGTAATTATATATATATATATTTGTTTGTTTTTAACCGCGGAGTATTCGTCAAAGGAAAAGTGATTTTAGGATTTTGTAACCTGGCAGCCATATGGCTCGAAACGCAGGCCGCGCAAGAGCACGCAAGGGCGCGCAAGGGCGAGCGCAAGGATATTATATGTATATACATGCATTTTTTGTTCTTATTTTCCTACATCTTATATCTTAAAATATATCGTATGTATGTTTATGTAGGCCTGGAATTGGTTGGGCACGAGGACATAGAACAAAATCTAAACGCCTCTCCTCCTGCGGTTTTCAGAAACAGGGGGTATCTTCCTACTCACCATCTCACACACACATTGCCCATGTGTGCGTGTGTGTGTGTGTACCACCTGCATAGATGCAAAACTTGATATTACTGCAGGGGGCCGCTGGGGAACATTGCAGTCAGCGGCCAATGGAGATGCTGCTATGTTCCTCTGTAAACGTACCTGCTTAATATATGTGTAGTCCCGCCCCTGGGCACATAGAAGTCGCAGCCGGGGGGGATCTTATCGCTGTTGTTTTATACGATCAATGTCTATACTGTGATTATACGTCTATATATACTTGTATAAATGTTCATTCTTCGTGTCATTTTATTGTTGGTGTTTTTGCACGTCCGATGAATTTCACATCAGAATTCGCAAAGATTGTTCTGAGCAAGTGTGTGATTCATGCTGGATTCGTCACGGTGGCATGAACCCTTCGGGGAATACTTTTCTAGGTAGGAGAGTGAATCCTCGACCTGATCTCTGAATTTACAATTTTCAACCTAGTAATTCGTCTAAGTAAAGTGAAGCAGCTGGCCTTATTTGGTTTTTTCACCCCTGTCGACTGTCGACGTTTTGAACAACCGCCCGCTGTACCAGGGACTCACCTTTTTTGCCTGAGTTTCAAGGGTTGGTAGACTGAAGCCGCGACAACAATTCCTTTTCTTACCATTGCTCAAGCATTTACAGATTTCGACAATTGCACCATGAGGATTCCAGGCACAGGACATGCTTTAGGTGTGGTGCTCCTTCCTTTTGATGGTCTCTGGTACGGTTCAAATATGCACGTAATTCAAGGGTTGACCACGTAAGCCGTCTATAGGGTTGTGACCTGACAACGGAGGGCCTTTGAGCCTTACCACGACTTATGCACGTTAAGTGGATGCATCATGTTTCACTAACTAGTTCCCCATGGGTCCCTTATCTCATGTGTTCTTCCCCTCTCCAGGTGGGTTGGGTCCTGCGGGTGCCGAGGTAGGCTTAGGTTTCGCCGTGGTAGGTTGGTTCAGGCGCCTCCGTCCTCCCCCTCCTCCGCTGGTCTGGTTCCGTTTCCGTCGGCCTCCGTTTTTTCTTTCCTTGCCTTTTCAGGGTTTGCCCGTTCTGGGCCAGGTGTGTTTGTGTTGGTGTTTGCTCCTTCCCTCTTCTTTTGCGTTCCCCTCTTCGCGTCCTGGTTAAGTAACTTTCATTTCATGTTCATTTTCATTTCACTTTCATTGTCATTTCATCTGCCCCGCTGTTGCGGGGCGTGTGTGTGTCTGTACCATCTGCATAGATGTACCCTGAGCATCCCTAATTGATTAGAATCAATATCTGGCCTCTCTGAGCAATTGATTTTTTGAAAAGTCAAAATATCCATTGATGGCAATCGATATTTTTATTGATTCCATATTGATTTGCTAATTGATTTGCTAATTGATTTGCTTTTGGGTGTTTTATGGAGTGAATCAATATGGCCAATTGATTTGCCATGTGTAGCTAGCTCATACATGCATGGAACATATGCAGCTGTTTTTGGCTTGAAAGTTTTGTTGGCAGTGCAAAAAAATTGAAAACGGGTTTAGAAAGGGGTGTCCTGGAAAGGACAAGTGGAAAGCAAAGAGGTCCTGGAAAGGACCAGTGGAAAGCAAAGAGGTCCTGGAAAGGGCCCAAGTCCCACCCAAGTTTTGGAAAAGACTTGGGAATGGGTGGTGGGAAAGGAGGTGCCAGGCATGAGGCCAAGCCTTGGGTGGATGTTGGCTTGTTATACAAGTGCTTGGAAAAGCACCAGAAGTTGCTTGCTGACATGAAGGCATATGAACATGTCAGTTCCCAGGCAGCACCTAATGCCAAAGCCCTCCTGGATCTGAAAAACTTGTGGGCTGGATTGCTAGAGCTCTCACCACAGGGCAGCATCCATTCCCAGCCTCTGAGGCAAGCCTTGATCAGCTTACTGACCACTATTCCAGACTTGAATTCTGGAAAGCATAGTGGTGCTGTCTGGGCAAACCTCAAGATAGAGAGGCTCAATTGCATGCTGAAGCATGTAAGGCAGTTGGGGGAGGAACACAAATGCCTTGGGGCCAGCTGTCTGCCAATTGACAAGGCTTGAATACCAAAGTCTTTTGGAAGGCTTGGAAAAGCTGCAGACTGCCCCTGGCCCAAATGCTGACCCTGGGGATGCAGAGGTGGTGCCTGAGAACCCAGGGGCTGAACATGTGGAGCAGGCAGAGGAGGAGCAGAGGCCTGGAAAGGCCAAAAGGAAATTGGAAGCTTATGACAGTGAGATTTCCCTTGACTCCTCAGGCTTGCCTGCAATTTTCAGAAGCCCTCTTGGAAAAGAGGCAAGCTTGAAGAAGCCTGCTGCATCTCCCCAGCTTGCCAACAGAAGGCCAGGCAGCAGGCTGCATGAAGCCATGGGGTATGGTTTGGAAAAGCCAAAGCCTGGAAAGGCTAAGGCTAAGGCAGTCATGAAAAAGCCAGCTGCAAAATTTGGAAAAGTTTTGACCAGGGGTACCCAACCTGGCCACAGACAAGAATGGGAAAAGCTGATACAAACACATGGCACAAACCCTGAGAGGAGTTATATTCAGGGCAATGTGAAGGGTGGTTCCAAGCACTTGGTTGTTCAAGCCCACCAGTCACCCCATTACAAAGCCATTATTGGCAAGATCAGAGAAGCTTTGGAAAAGGATTCTTTGACTAAGGAGGAGGCATTGGAAATGAGAGCTAGTTTGCTGAGCAGATATGGCTCCAAGTGACCTCCTGGATGCTTTGGAAAAGGCACCAGCCCTGAAGAAAGTGCCATGATTCTTGGAAAAGGTAAGCATGACACAGCCATGTCTTGGAAAAGACACGGTATGGTGTCAAGCTTTCTTGCTTTGGAAAAGACAACAGAATTGATATGTTGTCAGCTTTCTTGTTTTGGAAAAGACAAGAGATATATGCATGCTATGTCTTGGAAAAGGCAGAAGCATTTGTAGAGGTTTTGGAAAAGACTATCCTATTAGCTCAGCTGTTTCACTTGGACAATTTTGTTGTGAAAAAAAGAGCTGCACTGTTTGGAAGTGTAGGCAAGTTCCAGGTGAGGACACTGCAAAGCTGTTATCCAACAAAAGAAGTTGAATAAATGTTTGTTCCTGCAGCTGTTTTCAGTTTGAAGCTTAGGTGGCTCAACACACAGCATGCACAGCACTTCAGCAACACCACAGCATAGCATAGGTTGGTACACACAGCAAAGCATGTATAGCAAGCACCCCCATTAGGTATAGTCGGTATAGTCACCACACCAGCACAACACTCACTGCATATGTTCCATGCATGTATGGGCACACACTACACTGCACAGCACACACACCACAACACTCAACACTTCACCACAGCCTTCGCCTTGTAGTGTAGCTGAGCTGTTAGTGGTCTTGGAAAAGGCCTTCCAGGTTTGGAAAAGCATTTTCTTCTGGTGGAAAAGTTTGGAAAAGCTTTTCCCTGCTCCCCCCAAAGGTTTGGAAAAGCCTGTGCTGCCATTGTTTTGGAAAAGACAATGGCAGAGCAAGAGGGCCCCAAGGGCCCCAAGAACAAAAAGGATTCCCTGTGAGTGGGACAGGCCAAGAGGGCCCACAAACAGTGGAGTGCCTTGGAGCAGGCAGACCCCAGCTCCCCAAGCCACTTGGTCAGCCATCTGGAAGCCTTGGAAAAGGCCCAGAAAAGGGTGCCAGCAGAGGCTGCAGGAAGAGCTCCAGAAGGCCATGGATTCTAGCCCAAGGCCAAGGCAAGCCAGAGAAAGGACTTGGAAAAGTCCAAGACAGTGGGTTTGGACAAGCCTACTGCCAAGCCCAAGGTGATGGTTGATTGGCACCAGACCTTGGAGAACTCTGGCAGGGTCAGCAGTGAAGACCTCTTTGCTTTGGAGCAACTCCTGGACAAAAGCTGAGGTCATCATTCTGTCCTATGTTGCCAGCACTGGCAGGGCCAAGGGAGTGCCTGTGGAGATCAGAGATCTCATCCCCTTCCACCACAAATTTCTTGGAAAAGAAATTTGCTGGCAGAAAACAGGAGTGGGGGGGAAAGTGGATTTGGCTTGGCAGTGGGGGGGCCATGTCATTTTTGATGACAATGCAAGCATCTGCATGGAGGCAGCCTCCTGGGATATGGAACACTACCCCATCAACACCAAATGGTGTGACCACCAGTGGTGTGGAGGCTACCTCCAGACCCACCAGGATGACTGATGTTGGAAAAGATCAGCATCCATGGGGGCCTCCTTGCAGATGTGAAGTTTGGAAAAGCTTCACCTCCCTGGGGTTTGGAAAAGCCCCATGCCATGGCTTGGAAAAGCCAAAGAAAGCAAAATGAAAAAGGTTTGGAAAAGCCTTTGTTGTGAGAGGGATGCAATCCTGAGGCTGCACCTAGAAATGGTTCATTAGAATTTAAGAGTTTGTTTACTTATATAATTTGGCTAGCAAAGATAGCATAGCATAGTCTGTGGCAAAGTAACTATAACTCAAAGCTTACTTAAATATGTAGAAGTTTTATATGTTTCTCAAAAAGGTGCAGCTTCAGGATTGCAAGGTGAAGGTGGGTTTGGAAAAGCTTACCTGCAGATGTTTCACCTCCCACTGGGCAAGGCCCCAGTGGGATCAGTGGCCTGGAGGGCCACTGTGCTTTTGGCCTGGTGGACCTGGCAAAATTCACCCAACAGAATTAAAGAAGGAACAAATATAAAAAATAACTATACAATAAATATTAAATATTAATGTTAAAAAAATATAATGATGTTTGTATATGTATATATTCAAATATTTATATATTCATAAACATTTCAATATATATATATGATAAGTAATCATAAGTGTTTAAGTTTTAGGTTTCTTCATTGTACTTTCAAATTTAACTGGTTGGTTCAGGCGCCTCCGTCCTCCCCCTCCTCCGCTGGTCTGGTTCCGTTTCCGTCGGCCTCCGTTTTTTCTTTCCTTGCCTTTTCAGGGTTTGCCCGTTCTGGGCCAGGTGTGTTTGTGTTGGTGTTTGCTCCTTCCCTCTTCTTTTGCGTTCCCCTCTTCGCGTCCTGGTTAAGTAACTTTCATTTCATGTTCATTTTCATTTCACTTTCATTGTCATTTCATCTGCCCCGCTGTTGCGGGGCGTGTGTGTGTCTGTACCATCTGCATAGATGTACCCTGAGCATCCCTAATTGATTAGAATCAATATCTGGCCTCTCTGAGCAATTGATTTTTTGAAAAGTCAAAATATCCATTGATGGCAATCGATATTTTTATTGATTCCATATTGATTTGCTAATTGATTTGCTAATTGATTTGCTAATTGATTTGCTTTTGGGTGTTTTATGGAGTGAATCAATATGGCCAATTGATTTGCCATGTGTAGCTAGCTCATACATGCATGGAACATATGCAGCTGTTTTTGGCTTGAAAGTTTTGTTGGCAGTGCAAAAAAATTGAAAACGGGTTTAGAAAGGGGTGTCCTGGAAAGGACAAGTGGAAAGCAAAGAGGTCCTGGAAAGGACCAGTGGAAAGCAAAGAGGTCCTGGAAAGGGCCCAAGTCCCACCCAAGTTTTGGAAAAGACTTGGGAATGGGTGGTGGGAAAGGAGGTGCCAGGCATGAGGCCAAGCCTTGGGTGGATGTTGGCTTGTTATACAAGTGCTTGGAAAAGCACCAGAAGTTGCTTGCTGACATGAAGGCATATGAACATGTCAGTTCCCAGGCAGCACCTAATGCCAAAGCCCTCCTGGATCTGAAAAACTTGTGGGCTGGATTGCTAGAGCTCTCACCACAGGGCAGCATCCATTCCCAGCCTCTGAGGCAAGCCTTGATCAGCTTACTGACCACTATTCCAGACTTGAATTCTGGAAAGCATAGTGGTGCTGTCTGGGCAAACCTCAAGATAGAGAGGCTCAATTGCATGCTGAAGCATGTAAGGCAGTTGGGGAGGAACACAAATGCCTTGGGGCCAGCTGTCTGCCAATTGACAAGGCTTGAATACCAAAGTCTTTTGGAAGGCTTGGAAAAGCTGCAGACTGCCCCTGGCCCAAATGCTGACCCTGGGGATGCAGAGGTGGTGCCTGAGAACCCAGGGGCTGAACATGTGGAGCAGGCAGAGGAGGAGCAGAGGCCTGGAAAGGCCAAAAGGAAATTGGAAGCTTATGACAGTGAGATTTCCCTTGACTCCTCAGGCTTGCCTGCAATTTTCAGAAGCCCTCTTGGAAAAGAGGCAAGCTTGAAGAAGCCTGCTGCATCTCCCCAGCTTGCCAACAGAAGGCCAGGCAGCAGGCTGCATGAAGCCATGGGGTATGGTTTGGAAAAGCCAAAGCCTGGAAAGGCTAAGGCTAAGGCAGTCATGAAAAGCCAGCTGCAAAATTTGGAAAAGTTTTGACCAGGGGTACCCAACCTGGCCACAGACAAGAATGGGAAAAGCTGATACAAACACATGGCACAAACCCTGAGAGGAGTTATATTCAGGGCAATGTGAAGGGTGGTTCCAAGCACTTGATTGTTCAAGCCCACCAGTCACCCCATTACAAAGCCATTATTGGCAAGATCAGAGAAGCTTTGGAAAAGGATTCTTTGACTAAGGAGGAGGCATTGGAAATGAGAGCTAGTTTGCTGAGCAGATATGGCTCCAAGTGACCTCCTGGATGCTTTGGAAAAGGCACCAGCCCTGAAGAAAGTGCCATGATTCTTGGAAAAGGTAAGCATGACACAGCCATGGCTTGGAAAAGACAAGGTATGGTGTCAAGCTTTCTTGCTTTGGAAAAGACAACAGAATTGATATGTTGTCAGCTTTCTTGTTTTGGAAAAGACAAGAGATATATGCATGCTATGTCTTGGTAAAGGCAGAAGCATTTGTAGAGGTTTTGGAAAAGACTATCCTATTAGCTCAGCTGTTTCACTTGGACAATTTTGTTGTGAAAAAAAGAGCTGCACTGTTTGGAAGTGTAGGCAAGTTCCAGGTGAGGACACTGCAACGCTGTTATCCAACAAAAGAAGTTGAATAAATGTTTGTTCCTGCAGCTGTTTTCAGTTTGAAGCTTAGGTGGCTCAACACACAGCATGCACAGCACTTCAGCAACACCACAGCATAGCATAGGTTGGTACACACAGCAAAGCATGTATAGCAAGCACCCCCATTAGGTATAGTCGGTATAGTCACCACACCAGCACAACACTCACTGCATATGTTCCATGCATGTATGGGCACACACTACACTGCACAGCACACACCACAACACTCAACACTTCACCACAGCCTTCGCCTTGTAGTGTAGCTGAGCTGTTAGTGGTCTTGGAAAAGGCCTTCCAGGTTTGGAAAAGCATTTTCTTCTGGTGGAAAAGTTTGGAAAAGCTTTTCCCTGCTCCCCCCAAAGGTTTGGAAAAGCCTGTGCTGCCATTGTTTTGGAAAAGACAATGGCAGAGCAAGAGGGCCCCAAGGGCCCCAAGAACAAAAAAGGGATGCCCTGGGGGAGTGGGACAGGCCAAGAGGGCCCACAAACAGTGGAGTGCCTTGGAGCAGGCAGACCCCAGCTCCCCAAGCCACTTGGTCAGCCATCTGGAAGCCTTGGAAAAGGCCCAGAAAAGGGTGCCAGCAGAGGCTGCAGGAAGAGCTCCAGAAGGCCATGGATTCTAGCCCAAGGCCAAGGATTTGGGAAAGTCCAAGGCCAAGCCCAAGGCCAAGGCCAAGGCAAGCCAGAGAAAGGACTTGGAAAAGTCCAAGACAGTGGGTTTGGACAAGCCTGCTGCCAAGCCCAAGGTGATGGTTGATTGGCACCAGACCTTGGAGAACTCTGGCAGGGTCAGCAGTGAAGACCTCTTTGCTTTGGAGCAACTCCTGGACAAAAGCTGAGGTCATCATTCTGTCCTATGTTGCCAGCACTGGCAGGGCCAAGGGAGTGCCTGTGGAGATCAGAGATCTCATCCCCTTCCACCACAAATTTCTTGGAAAAGAAATTTGCTGGCAGAAAACAGGAGTGGGGGGGAAAGTGGATTTGGCTTGGCAGTGGGGGGGCCATGTCATTTTTGATGACAATGCAAGCATCTGCATGGAGGCAGCCTCCTGGGATATGGAACACTACCCCATCAACACCAAATGGTGTGACCACCAGTGGTGTGGAGGCTACCTCCAGACCCACCAGGATGACTGATGTTGGAAAAGATCAGCATCCATGGGGGCCTCCTTGCAGATGTGAAGTTTGGAAAAGCTTCACCTCCCTGGGGTTTGGAAAAGCCCCATGCCATGGCTTGGAAAAGCCAAAGAAAACAAAATGAAAAAGGTTTGGAAAAGCCTTTGTTGTGAGAGGGATGCAATCCTGAGGCTGCACCTAGAAATGGTTCATTAGAATTTAAGAGTTTGTTTACTTATATAATTTGGCTAGCAAAGATAGCATAGCATAGTCTGTGGCAAAGTAACTATAACTCAAAGCTTACTTAAATATGTAGAAGTTTTATATGTTTCTCAAAAAGGTGCAGCTTCAGGATTGCAAGGTGAAGGTGGGTTTGGAAAAGCCTACCTGCAGATGTTTCACCTCCCACTGGGCAAGGCCCCAGTGGGATCAGTGGAGGGCCACTGTGCTTTTGGCCTGGTGGACCTGGCAAAATGCCAGGTCCACCCAACAGAATTAAAGAAGGAACAAATATAAAAAATAACTATACAATAAATATTAGATATTAATGTTAAAAAATATAATGATGTTTGTATATGTGTATATTCAAATATTAATATATTCATAAACATGTCAATATATATATGATAAGTAATCATAAGTGTTTAAGTTTTAGGTTTCTTCATTGTACTTTCAAATTTAACTGGTTGGTTCAGGCGCCTCCGTCCTCCCCCTCCTCCGCTGGTCTGGTTCCGTTTCCGTCGGCCTCCGTTTTTTCTTTCCTTGCCTTTTCAGGGTTTGCCCGTTCTGGGCCAGGTGTGTTTGTGTTGGTGTTTGCTCCTTACCTCTTCTTTTGCGTTCCCCTCTTCGCGTCCTGGTTAAGTAACTTTCATTTCATGTTCATTTTCACTTCACTTTCATTGTCATTTCATCTGCCCCGCTGTTGCGGGGCGTGTGTGTGTGTGTGTGTACCATCTGCATAGATGTACCCTGAGCATCCCTAATTGATTAGAATCAATATCTGGCCTCTCTCAGCAATTGATTTTTTGAAAAGTCAAAATATCCATTGATGGCAATCGATATTTTTATTGATTCCATATTGATTTGCTACTTGATTTGCTAATTGATTTGCTAATTGATTTGCTAATTGATTTGCTTTTGGGTGTTTTATGGAGTGAATCAATATGGCCAATTGATTTGCCATGTGTAGCTAGCTCATACATGCATGGAACATATGCAGCTGTTTTTGGCTAAGTTTTGTTAGCAGTGCAAAAAAATGAAAACAGGTTTAGAAAGGGGTGTCCTGGAAAGGACAAGTGGAAAGCAAAGAGGCCCTGGAAAGGACCAGTGGAAAGCAAAGAGGTCCTGGAAAGGGCCCAAGTCCCACCCAAGTTTTGGAAAAGACTTGGGAATGGGTGGTGGGAAAGGAGGTGCCAGGCATGAGGCCAAGCCTTGGGTGGATGTTGGCTTGTTATACAAGTGCTTGGAAAAGCACCAGAAGTTGCTTGCTGACATGAAGGCATATGAACATGTCAGTTCCCAGGCAGCACCTAATGCCAAAGCCCTCCTGGATCTGAAAAACTTGTGGGCTGGATTGCTAGAGCTCTCACCACAGGGCAGCATCCATTCCCAGCCTCTGAGGCAAGCCTTGATCAGCTTACTGACCACTATTCCAGACTTGAATTCTGGAAAGCATAGTGGTGCTGTCTGGGCAAACCTCAAGATAGAGAGGCTCAATTGCATGCTGAAGCATGTAAGGCAGTTGGGGGAGGAACACAAATGCCTTGGGGCCAGCTGTCTGCCAATTGACAAGGCTTGAATACCAAAGTCTTTTGGAAGGCTTGGAAAAGCTGCAGACTGCCCCTGGCCCAAATGCTGACCCTGGGGATGCAGAGGTGGTGCCTGAGAACCCAGGGGCTGAACATGTGGAGCAGGCAGAGGAGGAGCAGAGGCCTGGAAAGGCCAAAAGGAAATTGGAAGCTTATGATAGTGAGATTTCCCTTGACTCCTCAGGCTTGCCTGCAATTTTCAGAAGCCCTCTTGGAAAAGAGGCAAGCTTGAAGAAGCCTGCTGCATCTCCCCAGCTTGCCGACAGAAGGCCAGGCAGCAGGCTGCATGAAGCCATGGGGTATGGTTTGGAAAAGCCAAAGCCTGGAAAGGCTAAGGCTAAGGCTGTCATGAAAAAGCCAGCTGCAAAATTTGGAAAAGTTTTGACCAGGGGTACCCAACCTGGCCACAGACAAGAATGGGAAAAGCTGATACAAACACATGGCACAAACCCTGAGAGGAGTTATATTCAGGGCAATGTGAAGGGTGGTTCCAAGCACTTGATTGTTCAAGCCCACCAGTCACCCCATTACAAAGCCATTATTGGCAAGATCAGAGAAGCTTTGGAAAAGGATTCTTTGACTAAGGAGGAGGCATTGGAAATGAGAGCTGGTTTGCTGAGCAGATATGGCTCCAAGTGACCTCCTGGATGCTTTGGAAAAGGCACCAGCCCTGAAGAAAGTGCCATGATTCTTGGAAAAGATAAGCATGACACAGCCATGTCTTGGAAAAGACAAGGTATGGTGTCAAGCTTTCTTGCTTTGGAAAAGGCAAGAGAATTGATATGCTGTCAGCTTTCTTGTTTTGGAAAAGACAAGAGATATATGCATGCTATGTCTTGGAAAAGGCCAGCATTTGTAGAGGTTTTGGAAAAGACTATCCTATTAGCTCAGCTGTTTCACTTGGACAATTTTGTTGTGAAAAAAAGAGCTGCACTGTAGGCAAGTTCCAGGTGAGGACACTGCAAAGCTGTTATCTAACAAAAGAAGTTGAATAAATTGCCAAGCCCGTGTTTGGCTTAAGACTGGTGGGGGGGGGGGTCGGAGGGTGAAACGGAGGGGGGGGGTGGTGCACGGCAAGGTGCTAAAATTTCAAAAATAGGTGCTCAAATTTAAGGAAATATGTGTTTTTTTGAAGAAACCGGGTCGGGATGCCACGGCAAGGTGCTAAAATTTCAAAAATAGGTGCTCAAATTTAAGGAAATATGTGTTTTTTTGAAGAAACCGGGTCGGGATCCAGTCGGGACCCAGTCGGGACCCAGTCGGGACCCAACCGGGCACCAATTTTTTGCATTTTTGGGCACCGCTTTTGGCCAGTCGGGATCCAGTCGGGATCCAGTCGGGCACCAATTTTCGAATTTTTGGCACCACGTTTGGACCTGTCGGGAAGCAGCCAAAATCACCCAAAAACATGCAAAAACACTGCAAAAATGCTATTTTTTATGAATTTGGCTGCCTCCCGACATTGGTGCCCGACTGGATCCCGACTGGATCCCGACTGGATCCAGTCCCGCGCACCAGCCGTGCACCAATACCCCCCCCCTCCTGCACCAAAAAGGCAAAAGCAGTCTTAAGCCAAACGGGGGTTCTACAATGAATAAATGTTTGTTCCTGCAGCTGTTTTCAGTTTGAAGCTTAGGTGGCTCAACACACAGCATGCACAGCACTTCAGCAACACCACAGCATAGCATAGGTTGGTACACACAGCAAAGCATGTATAGCAAGCACCCCCATTAGGTATAGTCGGTATAGTCACCACACCAGCACAACACTCACTGCATATGTTCCATGCATGTATGGGCACACACTACACTGCACAGCACACACACCACAACACTCAACACTTCACCACAGCCTTCGCCTTGTAGTGTAGCTGAGCTGTTAGTGGTCTTGGAAAAGGCCTTCCAGGTTTGGAAAAGCATTTTCTTCTGGTGGAAAAGTTTGGAAAAGCTTTTCCCTGCTCCCCCCAAAGGTTTGGAAAAGCCTGTGCTGCCATTGTTTTGGAAAAGACAATGGCAGAGCAAGAGGGCCCCAAGGGCCCCAAGAACAAAAAAGGGAGGCCGTGGGGGAGTGGGACAGGCCAAGAGGGCCCACAAACAGTGGAGTGCCTTGGAGCAGGCAGACCCCAGCTCCCCAAGCCACTTGGTCAGCCATCTGGAAGCCTTGGAAAAGGCCCAGAAAAGGTGCCAGCAGAGGCTGCAGGAAGAGCTCCAGAAGGCCATGGATTCTAGCCCAAGGCCAAGGATTTGGGAAAGTCCAAGGCCAAGGCAAGCCAGAGAAAGGACTTGGAAAAGTCCAAGGCAGTGGGTTTGGACAAGCCTACTGCCAAGCCCAAGGTGATGGTTGATTGGCACCAGACCTTGGAGAACTCTGGCAGGGTCAGCAGTGAAGACCTCTTTGCTTTGGAGCAACTCCTGGACAAAAGCTGAGGTCATCATTCTGCCCTATGTTGCCAGCACTGGCAGGGCCAAGGGAGTGCCTGTGGAGATCAGAGATCTCATCCCCTTCCACCACAAATTTCTTGGAAAAAAATTTGCTGGCAGAAAACAGGAGTGGGGGGGAAAGTGAATTTGGCTTGGCAGTGGGGGGCCAATGTCATTTTTGATGACAATGCCAGCATCTGCATGGAGGCAGCCTCCTGGGATATGGAACACTACCCCATCAACACCAAATGGTGTGACCACCAGTGGTGTGGAGGTGGGTATTGCAGCTTCAAAGCAGCTGTGGGTGCTTACCCCCAGACCCACCAGGATGACTGATGTTGGAAAAGATCAGCATCCATGGGGGCCTCCTTGCAGATGTGAAGTTTGGAAAAGCTTCACCTCCCTGGGGTTTGGAAAAGCCCCATGCCATGGCTTGGAAAAGCCAAAGAAAACAAAATGAAAAGGGCTCCCTGCTGAGGATATTCTAAGTGCAAGCCTGGATTCGCAGATAGAATTTTCAAAACATATATGAATTTAAATGTAAAATCATCTTGAGAATATTCTAAGTGCATCATATTTGTGAAACACCTCCAATTTTTTTCGCAAAGCAACCCCTGGCTTGAGACTCCATAATATTCTAAGTGCATGGCCTGTGTAAAACATCTATATTTGTTAGATTGATTTGGAATTGTTTGGCTATGAAACATTTCATTTTGTGGATGATATCTACAGCAAATACAGATCTATTCCTGTCTACGCAACCTTTCAGCCTCAACGACACATCCACCATCTTTCCAGTCATGGAGTCCGCACGCGATGCATATGATACATTCATATATACATATATTATATTTCTAATTCTATATGCAAACATTGTGCTATTCTTAACGTAGGTATTTAGAGCACATATACACATACAACCATACTACATCCAGGAATATTCTAAGTGCAATGATTTTGTGAAATACTTGTGGTTTGTTACAATTGGGCTGGTTGGGTTCATATTTTATCACCAGCAAGATATCCAATTGGAATCAAGAATGGTTTATAATATAATATATATACATATATATATATAGATCGATATTTGGTAGCCAACAATGCTGGCACATTTATATTAATAGCTAGTTGGTAGCCAACAATGCTGGCGTGCCAACAATATTATATATAAAGGTTGATTGTTTGCTACAGGACTGTTAAAAAATCTAACTGCAATGTTTTGAAACAATTTGAATATAGAAGTCAAATAGCCAAAAACCACCAAAATTCCTTTAAATTCCTTTAAATTCCTTAAAATTATTTAAAGTCCTTAAAATTCCTAAAAAAAATTCACCACATGGCATGGGACGTCCAATTCCTTATTTTTTTAGTACCTTTAAATTCATTTAAATTCCTTAAAGGACGAATTTACCACATGACATGGGACTTCCAATTCCTTTCAATTCCTTTAAAAGTCATTTAAATTCCTTTGAATTCCTTTAAATTCCTTCGAAATTCCTTTAAATTCCTTTAATTTTTTTTCAAATTCCTTTAAATTTATTTAAATTCCTTCAAATTCCTTTAAAATGCCAACAATATTATATATAAAGGTTGATTGTTTGCTACAGGACTGTTAAAACATATTCTAACTGCAATGTTTTGTAACAATTTGAATATAGAAATCAAATAACCAAAAACCACCAAATTCCTTTAAATTCCTTAAAATTAAAAGACGAATTTACCACATGACATGGGACTTCCAATTCCCTATTTTGCTTTACAAAAATTCTTTAAATTCCTTCAAATTCTTTTAAAATCATTCCAGTTCCTTATTTAAAAAAATACTTTAAAATTCCTCTAAATTCTGAAAAAAAACAAAATTACCCCATGACATGGGACTTCCAATTCCTTTCAATTCTTTGAAATTCCCTTAAAATTCCTTTAAACGTCATTTAAATTCCTTTGAATTCCTTTAAAATGCCTTTAAATTCATTTAAATTCCTTTACTTGCAGAATAGCTTCTAAATAGCTGCTAGCTAGCTGCTAAATAGCTTCCAAATAGTTGCTGAATAGCTTCTAAATAGCTGCTAGCTAGCTGCTAGCTAGCTTCTAAATAGTTTCCAAATAGTTGCTGAATAACTACTAAATAGGTGCTAAATAGCGTCCAAATAGTTGCTGAATAGCTTCTAAATAGCTGCTAGCTAGCTGCTAAATAGCTTCCAAATAGTTGCTGAATAGTTTCTAAATAGCTGCTAGCTAGCTGCTAAATAGCTTCCAAATAATTGCTGAATAGCTTCTAAATAGCTGCTAGCTAGCTGCTAAATCGTGTCCAAATAGTTGCTGAATAGCTTCTAAATAGCTGCTAGCTAGCTCCTAAATAGTGTCCAAATAGTTGCTGAATAGCTTCTAAATAGCTGCTAGCTAGCTGCTAAATAGCTTCTAAATAGTTGCTGAATAACTACTAAAAAGGTGCTAAATAGCTGCTAAATAGCTTCCAAATAGTTGCTGAATAGCTTCTAAATAGCTGCTAGCTAGCTGCTAAATAGCTTCCAAATAGTTGCTGAATAACTACTAAATAGGTGCTAAATAGCTTCCAAGTAGTTGCTGAATAGCTTCTAAATAGCTGCTAGCTAGCTGCTAAATAGCTTCCAAATAGTTGCTGAATAGCTTCTAAATAGCTGCTAGCTAGCTGCTAAATAGCTTTCACATAGTTGCTGAATAGCTTCTAAATAGCTGCTAGCTAGCTGCTAAATAGCTTTCACATAGTTGTGGAATAGCTTCTAAATAGCTGCTAGCTAGCTGCTAAATAGCTTTCACATAGTTGCTGAATAGCTTCTAAATAGATGCTAGCTAGCTGCTAAATAGCTTTCACATAGTTGCTGAATAGCTTCTAAATATAGCTAGCTGCTAAATAGCTTCCAAATAGTTGCTGAATAACTACTAAATAGGTGCTAAATAGTTTCCGAATAGTTGCTGAATAGCTTCTAAATAGCTGCTAGCTAGCTGCTAAATAGCTTCCAAATAGTTGCTGAATAGTTTCTAAATAGCTGCTAGCTAGCTCCTAAATAGTGTCCAAATAGTTGCTGAATAACTACTAAATAGGTGCTAAATAGCTTCCAAATAGTTGCTGAATAGCTTCTAAATAGCTGCTAGCTAGCTTCTAAATAGCTTCCAAATAGTTGCTGAATAGCTTCTAAATAGCTGCTAGCTAGCTGCTAAATAGCTTCCAAATAGTTGCTGAATAACTACTAAATAGGTGCTAAATAGCTTCCAAATAGTTGCTGAATAGTTTCTAAATAGCTGCTAGCTAGCTGCTAAATAGCTTCCAAATAGTTGCTGAATAGCTTCTAAATAGATGCTAGCTAGCTGCTAAATAGCTTTCACATAGTTGCTGAATAGCTTCTAAATATAGCTAGCTGCTAAATAGCTTCCAAATAGTTGCTGAATAGCTCCTAAATAGCTGCTAGCTAGCTGCTAAATAGCTTCCAAATAGTTGCTGAATAGCTTCTAAATAGCTGCTAGCTAGCTGCTAAATAGCTTCCAAATAGTTGCTGAATAGCTTCTAAATAGCTGCTAGCTAGCTGCTACATAGCTGCTACATAGCTTTCACATAGTTGCTGAATAGCTTCTAAATAGATGCTAGCTAGCTGCTAAATAGCTTTCACATAGTTGCTGAATAGCTTCTAAATAGCTGCTAGCTAGCTGCTAAATAGCTTCCAAATAGTTGCTGAATAGCTACTAAATAGCCGCTAGCTAGCTGCTAAATAGCTTCCAAATAGTTGCTGAATAACTAGTAAATAGGTGCTAAATAGCTTCCAAGTAGTTGCTGAATAGCTTCGAAATAGCTGCTAGCTAGCTGCTAAATAGCTTCCAAATAGTTGCTGAATAACTACTAAATAGGTGCTAAATAGCTGCTAAATAGCTTCCAAATAGTTGCTGAATAGCTTCTAAATAGCTGCTAGCTAGCTGCTAAATAGCTTCCAAATAGTTGCTGAATAGCTTCTAAATAGCTGCTAGCTAGCTGCAAAATAGTTTCCAAATAGTTGCTGAATAGCTCCTAAATAGCTGCTAGCTAGCTGCTAAATAGCTTCCAAATAGTTGCTGAAAAGCTTCTAAATAGGTGCTAGCTAGCTGCTAAATAGTGTACAAATAGTTGCTGAATAGCTTCTAAATAGCTGCTAGCTAGCTGCTAAATAGCTTCCAAATAGTTGCTGAATAGCTTCTAAATAGTTGCTGAATAGCTTCTAAATAGTTTTTTCAAATAGTTGCTGAATAAATACTAAATAGGTGCTAAATAGCTTCCAAATAGTTGCTGAATAGCTTCTAAATAGCTGCTAGCTAGCTGCTAAATAGCTTCCAAATAGTTGCTGAATAGCTTCTAAATAGCTGCTAGCTAGCTGCTAAATAGCTTCCAAATAGTTGCTGAATAGTTTCTAAATAGCTGCTAGCTAGCTGCTAAATAGCTTCCAAATAGTTGCTGAATAGCTTCTAAATAGCTGCTAGCTAGCTGCTAAATAGTGTACAAATAGTTGCTGAATAGCTTCTAAATAGCTGCTAGCTAGCTGCTAAATAGTTTCCGAATAGTTGCTGAATAGCTTCTAAATAGCTGCTAGCTAGCTTCTAAATAGTTTCCAAATAGTTGCTGAATAACTACTAAATAGGTGCTAAATAGCTGCCAAATAGCTTCCAAATAGTTGCTGAATAGCTTCTAAATAGCTGCTAGCTAGCTGCTAAATAGCTTCCAAATAGTTGCTGAATAGCTTCTAAATAGCTGCTAGCTAGCTCCTAAATAGCTCCCAAATAGTTGCTGAATAGCTTCTAAATAGCTGCTAGCTAGCTGCTAAATAGCTTTCACATAGTTGCTGAATAGCTTCTAAATAGCTGCTAGCTAGCTGCTAAATAGTTTCCAAATAGTTGCTGAATAGCTTCTAAATAGCTGCTAGCTAAAATAGCTTCCAAATAGTTGCTGAATAGCTTCTAAATAGCTGCTAGCTAGCTGCTAAATAGCTTCCAAATAGTTGCTGAAT